ATATAGTATATATATATATATATATATATATTTAAGTAGCTTATTGGAATCAAAGTTCCTTACGGTAGCTCAAGTCCAGATCACGGATCGTGACAGAGCAAAGCCGCATACACACGCAGAAAAAGAAAAGGATAAGTTCTATATTGCACCAACGCTAATACGTAGACGAACGATTCTGAAATTTTGGAATAAATATATATTGTACTTGAACAAAAATTCTACAGAAAAATCAGAATTGATTGCTTATTAAATTACGGCAGCAAAGCAGAGAGTCTTTCGTTTATGTATCAAACAAAGAAGTTGGCTGTCAGCACTTTATATACATATATCCTCTTTTTTTTTTTGATCGAGCTGTACAAGATTTGAGTAGCAGTTGTCAGCGCGGAGAGGAAGAAAAGCAAGCAGAAGCCCGGCAGAGACGTTTTCTTCCAAGTTCGGCGTCTTCACTCGCCGATAGCCGTCGCGCCAGCAGGCTCAGGTTTGTTGAAAAGCCTTTCTTTTGCGTGTGTTTGTGTGTTGTATAGTTGAACCGATGTCGATGCCACGTAGAACAAGCAAAGGGAAAAGGAAAACCACGAGCGATGAAGATATGAGACGAGGAAGTGTTTATTTATGCCAAAAACAAAAGGAGAGGTACGGTGAAGAAGTCAACGTTTCGGAGGGAGAGAGAGAAAATGGAAAAACAAAAAGGTGAAGAAGCGGTGAAAGAGTGAAACAGAAAGAAAGAAAAAAAAGCGCAGTTTTACACTAAAGTGAGAAGCATGATATAGCAGAAAAGAAGAGAGGACAAACAAAAAGACGGCGAGCGGTTCACGGAAGAAGGAGAAAGTGTTTCTTGTTGTTTGCTTTTTGAGCACGGAGGTACGTGAAAGAGAAGAAGAGGAAGGGGAGGAGGAGAAGTAGCAAAACACGCTCGCTGCAAGCACTTCAATGATGGACAACGCTCTACCGTAAAACAAAGGCGCTGCGCCGTTACAGACGAAGAGAAGAAAAAGGGAAGCAAAAACAGCGTAAAGAACGTCAACGCGCGCAAAGTGAGAAGAGACAAGAGCAAAGCAGAAGGAGAAGGTATAAAGCAGGGCAGTAACAGCGAAGAGAACAGAAAAAAATGCTGGAACCACACTAATTCAGAATAACTGGAATCGGCGATGATATGAGACGAAATGCTTCGTAGGATTCTTGGGCCTAGACGACAACACCGGTTCACCCTTCGAAAGGGAAAACCGGAAAACGAATAAGATGTATTAGGACGAGGAATAGAAAAGGGAAGAAGTCTCGCAACGTACACTTCTTTACCAAATAAGTTGTTTATACAATACAGAAATTTAGTTTTACAGCATCAAAGATACTTAGGTGAGTTTTCTTCGTTTTCTTTTTTTCTCTTCCTGCCACTACCTACGCAGCGCTCCCTTGTGTAGCGTGAACGCACACGTGAGAGAAAACAGCGGAGAAGCAAACTCGAAAGATGGAGAACCCGCTGCCCCCCTCGACACGCAAACACACGAGTAAAAAAGGAAAGAGAAAGCACAAGTAACACGGAAGTGAAAAGGTGCAGTACGGAGTGTATGGTAGAGAAGAACACACACGCAAAGAAGGGGGAAAGCTAAACTTACTACGCAATACAGAAGACCCAGAGAAGTAATTCGAGAAGAGAGAAGACGAAGAACGGATAGGAAGAAGAAGAAACTGACGGAAACCCTTGGTGGCTGAAGTAGAGTAGGCTAGCTCAGACACACACCACGTGGACAACGCGCATGCACATCGGCCTGAGCAACCGAGTGCAAAGCACCACAGCACCTCGGCAAGAAAGATAAGTGCCAGCAAACCTCAATAGGCAGGGGATAGATGGCGTGCAGACGTAATAAAGCGATGCAAAGAGTACGTGTTCAGCGGAAGAACTCCTTTTCTTTCTTTTTAATTCTACTTAGGGGAATTTTCATGCACGGATAACAAGCAAACAAACCAGAAAAGAAAAAAGAAACGGACTGTCAAGGCGAACGTGAAAAGAGATCTTCAAAAATGCAACTGACACTCTTCAGAGCCGCTTTCTTGGGGTAGGGTGAAGCAGTTCATACATTGCATGGCACCTCAAATAAATTACATAAAATACAAGCGCAGAGAAGCTCTGCTACATCGATTTAGAAAAAAAAAAAAGGTCGAGAAAACAGCCTCGTACAGGAAGCAGCGTAGACGAGGTGCACCTTCATTTTATTAGTCAGAGCACTCAGCTGTGAAAACGCCATGCCAGTGTGTTCCTCCTACACGTTCTTAGGTCATAGAGAAAGAAGAAAACAAAAAAAGAAGACAACAGCAGTTCAATAAAAAAAGAAAACGAAGATTGAAATCAAATATACATTCAATAGGGGGGAAATAGAAATCAAAATAAAAAGCCATCGGCATCGGTGGTTGCCACGTTGTATTCCTCAGACTAACAAGGCGCCGCAACGGCGAGCTGTAGTTACCTTCACGCAGCTTTCTATATGTGAGCGCGCATCCGAACCTAAACGTCGTCCTTGAGATCCCATTCTGACAACGACTGTTTAGTCGACTCTGTCCGCCGAGACAATGAAGGTGGTGGGGCCAACGAATACTTCTCCGCTCGCATTTGACGCTGCAGGCGAGCAGAGCTGGCAGCAGGCGGCAGCATCGACGCTGTCTCGGTAACATGCGATGGTAGGGGGGTGAGGTGAGGGAGGCGGAAAAAGGTTTCCTTCAGCGTGGGTGCGTACGTCGCAGAGCGCTGCTGCTGCTGTTGCCGCTGCTGCCAGGCCTCTTGCCGCTCCGCCTTCATTTGAATCGCCTCCGCCTCCTCCTTTGCAAGCCGGGCCATGCGTTGCTGCTTCGCGAGAAGTACGGCGGCGGTCATGCAGGACGAAGAGGGAGGCACCAGCGTTGAGGAAGCGAATGGGGCAGCGGCGCTGTAGCCGCACGGTACAGCAGACGGAGGAGGTGTGGAGGCAGAGAGTGGCGGGCACGAGTCGGGGCCGGCCACCGTTGCTGCTGCAGTTGTCACTGACTCCGAAAGAGAAACGTGAAGAGGATCAAGTGGGCGCGGCGACGATGGCTGCTTATTGCCGGGGAGAAGAGAAGGCTGCACGACCAGCGCAGGGGGTGTGCTCGTCGCCACCGTGGGGACGGTGACGGCCGTATCAGCAGGGCTGGGTGTCACTCCGGGGTTGGGGTTGTCGGAGAGAACGCTGGCGGGACCAGCGTTCGTTGCACACCGAGGCATAGGTGCACGATGAGGGTCACCGCTGTTAGCCGGAGTGAGGTCAGTCGCGTAGTTGCTGCTTTCCGGCATCACGTCTGTACGGGGCCCGTTGTCGACTGCATTCCGGCTCTGCAGCCGCACCGCCCGCACACGCACCATCGGCGCGGCCTCGTCGGCAGGTTGAAATACACGCGGCGGTTGAACCAAGTATTTGTTGCCGCTGATGTAAGTTCGATCGCCTGCCTCCCCACTCCCTGCCATCGCCGCTGTTGGTGCCGCCGCGGCTGCTGCTTCGCCGAGGCCGTCTTGCATCTGCGGGACAACGTGGTGATAGGAGGAGGACAGCGGCAGCGGTGACAAGGTCGTGTAGAAGATTGGGTCTTGGCGCGTGTGCCCGTGGCGGTGACAAGCCTGCCAGCCCTCACGTATTGCGGCGTCTTCGCCGGAGAGGGGGATGGCCATAGGGACGAGATAGAGCGGCTGAAGGCCCCTCGCTGAGGGCGACGCGGTCGTTGGCTTAGTGAGTACGGACGACGATGCAGGCGGTGCCTTGGTCATGGATGCTGCCTTCTCCGCATCCTCGTCGCGCGAAGGAGCCGCCGCGGGCGTCGTTGGGGAGACGTAACGCAGCGGAGCAGGGAAGAGGATGCGCGTCATGGCGAGTGACGACCGCTGCCCATCCGCGTCCATCGGGCTGCCCGCTGGAGAACTCGTTTCCACGCTCTCAGCTGCCGCGTCTTCCTTTCCTTTCTCCGTACCTTTTTGAATCGCGGGTCGGCCCTCCGCATCGCCGACGTAATACTCGCCCGTGCTTGCATCTTGGAACAGGTACACTGGTCCACCATGCCGACCCACCGGCCGCCCGAGCTGCACCCCACGGCAGTAGTCCATCACAGCTACGTACGGCGCGTTGCATGACCCCGGAGTGTCCTGCACCGCTCCTTTATCGGTTCTGTTGCCATCGCCTCCCTCCTCCGTGAACCCTGTCTCCCCTTCCGTTTCCTTGCGAGCGGTGTCGCCCCTCCGTGGCACGTAAGATGCCGTGTTCGTGTAGGGGGCAACGGAGATGGAGGTGTCGCCGAAGAGCACACACGCACCAGCCCCGCCGCTCACGTTGCCGGCTGCGTCGACCGTACTATTGAGTCCGATGGGCAGGTACGCCACCCCGCTCGGCACGTTGCCGTCGTTCAGGTACGGCGACTTCCACAGCTGCGCCGCGCTCTTCAGTTCGCCGTTCACCCAGTAAAGTCCGGACGCCTTCTCCTCAGCCAGTCGCCGCGCCGTCTCCGCGGCAGAGAGTTGCTCCGCATCCTTCACCTCGTTTTCGGCGAAGAAGATATCGAGCAGTCGCTGCAGCTCCGCGATGCGCTGCGATGTTCTGTCGATGCGCTTCTTCGTGCCGGTGGAGAGTTGCTGCAACGCACGGTGCTTCAGCACCTCCTCGGGTGAGGCGAAGTCCATCGACGGTGCCTCCGAGGCTTTCAGCTTCGCGCCTGTGAGAATCTGCGTGCCGCGCTTAGTGCGCGCCGCTGATGTCTCCTTGTGCTCGACCGGATTCGGAGCAGAGGCCTGCGTGATGGTGGCCTGGGCACGGGCGAGACGCACTTGATCGCACGCACGCCGCATACGTAGGTGCACCAGTTCCAGCAGGAGATCCGCCGCCGTCGCCTCATCGCCGTTCACCACCGTCTTGGTGCGCCAGCCGTCCTGCAGGCGTCGCCGCGGCCAGGGATCGGCGGCGTAAAAAGAGTCGGGCGTCTCCTGCGGCATCGCCGAGGAGCCGTGGCGACGGCGTGAGCCTTCACTGCTGACGACACTGCCACTGCGCTTATTGAACCGCACCCGACGTCCCTCCGCGTCTAACTGGGCGGACATGGCCTCCTCGTACGCGTAGAGCTGCTGCACCCGCGTCACACGCATATCCTTCGCCATGACCTGCAACTCGCTAAACACCTCCTGGGCGTGGGTTGTGATGGGGTGCGCATTCCAGTACGGGAGGCCCAGGTCAGCGCGGTAGTAGTTGGCGGCACTGGCCGCGTCCGGCGCGTCGGCGGTGACCACCGTGGCGCTCAACACATCCGGCCGCCGGAGCCGCTGGTTCATTGCCCGCATCGCGACCGCCTGCCGCTCGGCATTCAAACGAGCATCCGGCTTCAGCCGCCACTCTTTGCGCGAGCGCAGCGCGTCTGATCGTATTGTGGACTCCTCGCCGGCGTCGTGCCCGATTCTGTCTGTCGACAGGGTCAGCGGTGTTGGTGGATTGGGCGAGGACGCGGTGGACCAAACGCCCAGCGCTGGCGCCGCGTTGAGGGAGAAGAAGGTCGTGATGGTTTCCGCCGACTCCCCCGGCAGCGTGCCGCTGGACAAGAGGTCGGTGATGGTGCGGGCGTGCGAATCGCGGGAAAGCACGGTTATGGTGCGCTTCGTCTCCTGTACGAAGGTTTCGAGAAAGTCGAGCAGGCCGTCGTTGCGGCTCTGCAGGTGCGCGAGGGCACGCGAGATGACCTGCACGTCGTGCGTGTGCTCCTTCTGCATCGCGTACACCGCCTGTCGTACCTTCTCCAACTCCACGTGAAAGCCGTGCTTGATCGGCTCAAGTGCGAGGTGCAGCAGCCACTGGAAGCCTTTTGCCTTCGCCTGCTCCTGCTCCAGCTGACTGGCAAGGGCTTCGTCGTCGTACATCGTGTCGCTGTCGCGCTGGTCGGCATCCGCAAAAGTGCACGTGCGGGCGCGCGGCGAGCGGCGATGTCGCCGTCGTCCTGTGCCGTCCTCGCCGTCTGCCTCCCTCATTGCGTCCTCAAAGCGCTTCGACCACGGACCCTGCCCGCCGTTCAAAATTCGGATGTACTCCTCGTAGTCGAAGATGGCATCGACGCTTTCCGGCTCCGGCAGCGGCACCATTTCGCCTTTTGCAGCACCCTGTAGCATCATCAACGGTCCCCGAGAAGAGCCGTAGGAGACGAACGGGGCGATGCGCACGCTGCGCTCCTTTCCGCGCAGACCGGAGGACGCCGCCCTCGTCAATGCATTGCCCTCCATGCCAGAAGCAGCAGTGGGGGTGGGGGCCGCCAGCCCGCGAGCGTCACCGGCAGCCTCATCATTCGCAATGCCCCTGCACGTCTCGGACAGTCGTCTGGCTGAGCTCGAGTCGTCGGAGTTGCCATCCGCTTTGTCCGTCTTGCCTTCACGAGTCACCGCCATCGATGATGTGGACGGCACGCTCGTGTCGCTCGCTGCTGCCGCCTCGGACATAAGCACCTCATCCGCACCCAGACGCTCGCCCGCCGCGCCGCCCTTGCGAGGACTGATATTTACAATGCTCGGGTTTTCGTTTAACATGAACTGCTGCAGCTGCGAGCCCATCGAGGTGGAGAAGGCCGTACTGCCACTCACCCGCGGCACCGGTAGGGGGCCAAGGGCATGGGCACGATAGGCACGGTTCTGTCGCTTTAGGTCGTGGATGCGGTTACGCAGGGAGAGAACTTCTCGAAAATAGCGATGCAGCGTGTAGTCGTGTGCGTCTTTCAAGCTGCGCAGCAGCGTCTGCGCTTCCGCCAGCTCATTCTCCGCCTCGATCACCTCTGCCTCCAGGGCGTCTTTCTCTTCTGCCAGCTGCAGGCAGCGCTTCTCGAGAGCGGCGATGTCCGCAGCAGGAATCGCGCAGTTGACGGTCTTTTCGATGATGTTTTCTACAATGGCGTGGCACACCTGCTCCGGTGAGTCTGTCAGCGCCGGGGAGTGCAGCACCGTCATATCGGTGTACTGTTTCCGCAGCAGACTTCCGAGAATGCGTTGGATGTCGGCGTGTACTTGCGGATGGACGCGGTGCAGCGTCAGCAGCGAGTGAATGTCACGCGTTGCATTCTCGATGCACAGCGCAAACGCACCCATGGTGTTCGTGGGTGTAGATTATCTATATATAAAACAAAAAAAAAAATGCGACTTTGTAAGTGAGACAAAGGGGGCCGAGTAAAAGAAAGAAGAAGACCTCTTCTCCGACAAATCAGTGAGCGCTGCGAGCTTCACAGTTTTACCTGAAACGAAAATAAGGAAGAGTATTTCCCTTGTACGTTTATGCCGGCTGCTCATACGTACCGTTCAACGCAACAAGGTTACTTCACAGCTGTACAAATTCGTGCGAACCGCCGAGACATCCGAACGGCATGAAAGCGAAGGAAAGGGGAGGAGGGGAAGGATAGACAGATTAAAAAGTTCGTGCGCCGTAGGGTCGTTCGTGAGAGGCAGACATCGAGATGCAGAGCCATTAAGAAAAAAAAGGAGAGGGCTGGTCGTTGCTTTCTTGGTTTTTGGTTTGTAAGCAGCGCGACATACATTGTTTACGACAGCTCCTCCAACGCTTGGTTTGGAATTAAAACTCCCGTAAATACCCTACGTGCCACACAGACGTGCGCATGTCATCATCCACCTCACATGACTTTGACGACGGGTTTGTTTATTTTTTTCCTTGGAGGTGTTGATAGTTATTCGAGCAGGTCATCCTACGTTTTGAACTTCTTTTAACGTGCTGATACCTCGCAGGCTCAGCCTGGGTCCGCAGCACACACACACACATACATCGCGGCCTTCGTGCTCGTAGGCACAAAGAAGGGGGGGAAAGTACTTAAGGCGCTCAAATTTTCGACTTCTGGGCTTTGCGCCACATCGCCAGACCACGCTCAAAGGTTCCTGGCGTCATCCCATCAGGGCAGTAGAACGACGGCACCCCCAGACGCGACACGTAGTGGACGTTATCTGTTTGATTGTCAAAGAACAGCATCTGCGCAAACTCTGTCACCGTAGGATCGATGTCCTGCACCTTCTTGAGAATCGTTTGGTGCTGCTTCGCCTTGTTCGCCTTGTACACCTCGATGCGGTCGTCAAACAAGGAGCCCATGGGTACCTCCTTGCCCTCGCGGTTGGTGAAGGTGAATTTCTCCAACAGCTCCGCCGCCCACTGCGGAACATCGCAGGTCGAGGACAGCGCGAGGTACGTCCTCGACCACCGCGGGTCCACTGTAAGGGTCTGCAGCACCGGGCGAGACTCCCCGATTAGCCGCACCTCCGTGCCCTGGCGATCGATCATGATGCTGGGGTCCGTGCGGTGGGGCTTGAAAGGGGCGCCGCCCCACAGCTGATACATCTCCGGATTCCAGAGAGTGCCATCAAGGTCGAAGACGATGACGCGTGGCAGCGGACCGTCCGCGAGGCGGTCAAAGTCCGTCATGAAATTAGCCTGCTGATAAGGTCGCCTTTCCTGCTTCACGACAGCCGACGAGAGACAAATATAGAGCAGCACCAAAGAGTGAGGATGCTTGTCACAAATGCGGCGTTGTTGAAGCCGCGCAGCAGGGATCAAAGTATGCAAGACGGAATGTACCGAACACACAATGACGGTGTCAGGGGGAGCGAGAGGGGGCAAATGCTTTGAGAACAGGTTGCAAAAGGAAGGAAGGAAGAGCATCTATAAGAGCACAACAGTTCGGAGAGAGACGGAGACGGAGGCGGGGAAGCGAGCTACCACGCTTGCATAACCAATTGACAGTCGTGTCTGCAGGGTGCAAAGAAAGAAAGAAAAAAAGAATCTCCGCAAAGCTGTCACTCCAGACGCTTCCACGCATCTACAAAGATTTGCTCTAATGACGAAGCCTCTTCCTTTGTGCTCCCTCTCAACATAGAGCTTTTATTGTTGTAGCGGCAACAGCACGCGACGACCTCATACTTCTCTGCAACTTCTCTGCAAACACAGGTGAGAAGTCGGATCGTCCTCCACAACCCACGCGGCAACACACCTGTGCTTTCTCCTCTTCCTTCTCGCTCAGTCTCGAGAAAAGTAGCCGTAAGCGTCGTAGTCCATTTCTAGGGCTGCAAGTAGCTCCTCCGGTGGGCCCTTGAATTGTCGCACCACCTCAGCCACAGCGGGAATCATACGCGGATCGTACAAGGCGTAAAACCTCAATAAGCGATCGCGCAGCACCACCGCATCGTGCGTAGGCGAAGCCGATTTCCCGCGTGTCTTGCTTCTCTTTTCGTTCTCTCTGTCTGTTAGATGGCTCTCCGGGTCTGCGAGGTTCAACGCACCCAAGGTAGAAGCGGGAGAGACCACGACCTCAGTTGGATACCGCAACCTTCGACTCGTGTCTCGCTCTGCACCGTTGCGTAGAGCAGATGGCGACGCGCACGTAGCACCGTTTGCTGCCACGGATTCGCCGGCCTGAATTGCCGCGCCACCGTCCGATGTACGCCGCATGCGCAGTGCGTCGGAAGAGACGTGTGCCATTACGTTGCCGTTACGCTCGCGCGCTGCCTGCAGAGGCTCTAAACGACTCAGGGCGGAGACGAGCTCCTGCACTTGTGCTTCGCGAGCCGCACGCTCCTGTGCCATGAGAAGTTCGAAGCCCTTCACGGTGGTCTCTAGAGACTCCAGCGTTGCCGCATTGACGTCGAGACGCCCCGAGTCGATCGGTTGCATATCGCGTTCCGATAACGAAGCACGTCGGGCCGCAATCTGCTGCGGAGGCGATGGAGAATCCGGTGAGTATCTTTCGCCCGCTGGAGAGCAGGCGCGCAGCAGAGCCACCTTGTCCAGCTGCAGCTGTCGGAGCACCACCAAAAGTTGATCCTTGCACCGCCCCATTTGCACCACGCCGCGGCGCACCTGATCAAGCTCGCGCATCTGTCGCTGACGCTCGCGATTGTAGGCGCGCCGCTGGATCTCCTGATTTCGCGTGAGAGCGGCAAGCTGCTCCTCTAGCCGCTCCACACGTTGTGCGATCGACGACGATGAGAAGGAGGAGCTCGTTCGAGAAGAGCCAGCATCCGCCCCTGCCTCCACATTGTTGGTGGAACCAGAGAGCCGTGTCTCGTGCGGCGTCTCTTCAGTCAGCGTGGATCCCGCTGAGATAAAGGAAGGTTCGCCTGTGGAGCGGCGCAGCGCGGTTAAGATGCCGCGCAGTGTCACATCACAGGCGTCACACGAGGCGTTAACCTGCTCCAGTCGAGGAAGAAGCTCGTCGTGTACCCGCTGCTGCGTCTCCAGCACCTCTGCCCGCATCGCGTCACACTCCGTTGTAATTCGCTGAAAGAGCAACTCCCACGGCAGAGGCGTTGGGGAAGACTCCGCCGCTCGACTGGACGACGATGACATGAGTGAGAGGGCGCTCTTGCGTTTCCCATTTCTTTCCTCTTTAAAAAAAAAAAAATGGTCTTCAAGAAGTGCAGCTCCCGTATCGAACTATCACGAACTGCTGAGCGTCCTGCGATGGCTTGACAGAATGAAAGAGAGAGAAACAGAAGGCATCAAAAGCAGAATGTTTGTTTTCCGTGTGCGCGAATGAAACACACACATATATATATATATATATATATATATATATTAG